TGAGATTGGTGATTGTCTCATTAGCCACGTATATTTGAAAAGCTTGGGCTTGCAATTCATATTGGTAAATGTCGTTCAGCGTACGCGCTTTGGAAAGTTGGTCCCGAGTTTCTTGAAGCTCGCCGAGAAGTTGATGGCTTTGGTTCTGTAACTCTGCGTTCTCTCGATTCACAAACGCTATGATTTCTGCGGGCTCCATATTGAAAATCCTGCTCGTACTAGATCTGGTTGGGCAACGTATAGTCCTCGTTGTAGAACTTGGGATTTGTGGTTTTGCACGAGAAATGGAATGGGAAACACTTTAATCTATCTCAAATTCTTCCCGATTGTGTGGCGCAATAATCGGGAAGGTTAGAGCTAAACAGGGGAAGTCAGGCAACTAATTTAGGCGTTGAGCCAGCGGTGAAAAGCTTGCATCGTACTCCTCGCCATTCAACGCCACGACGCCTGCAATATTTGACACATTTCCTGTTAGACATTAACTCAAATCACTTCTACTAAGTTGATTTAATCCGGCTCAGCCTACTGCTCCAGTGGCCGCCGAGGGGCAAAGCCTTAGAGAGCCGTCGACGTGTTCATACTGCCTAACCAACTAATATGCACACTCCAGAGCCTATCAGATAAGCCCGGCCAGCAGTGGGTGATTCGGTGCCAAAAAGCAGCCAAAGCTATCCAAAACAAAAAAGCGAAGATCTTCTTAAAATGGGCCCCCGGCCATACAGATATAGAAGGAAACGAAAAAGCAGATTCCTTAGCAAAGGAAGCTACAAAACAAACACCAAAAAAATCACAAACAAGCCTAGCCTTCCTAGGCACTAAGATCAAGCTCCTCCAACGAGCTAGCCAGGCAGAAGAGTGGAGAAAGTATAGGGAAAAAGCAAGAGAAAAGAAGACCAGCTACGGAGCCATCTTCAACCTAAAGCTTAAAAACCAACTAGTAATCCCAAGAGGCACGAAAAGAGATATTTCAAGCTCTTTCTACTCTCTTAAGATAGGACACGGATACTTCAACTCTTATCTAAAGAGATTTAAGAGAAGAGAATGCGATCTTTGCAGATGCGGGAGACCGCAAACAGCAGAGCATTTACTCCTATACTGCGGCTTCTACAGCGCAGAAAGAAATAAGCTAAAAAAGACTCTAGAGCAAAAAGTGCTTAAACTCCCACTTCTACTCCATACTACGAGCGGTATAGAAGCTACCTTGGCTTTCATTACTAGCACGAGAATAGGAACAAGAAAATGGCACCTCGGCCAGGACGGCTAGAAAAGAACAAAACAAGAAAGAAACAGTAAAGGAAGAAAGAAAAGAAAGAAAGAAAAAGAAGAAAGAAAAGGAAGAAAAACACGTCTGCTTTTATTAGTACTATTTCCTACCCCCGAAGAGAGCCCGCTGGAAGGTAGCCTAGCTCCCCTACATCTCTCCCTGTTACCAAACTGCTCTTTAGCACCAGGCATCTACAAAGCTAGTCATAGCTTAGCTAGAGAAAGGCCGAAGCACCACAGTCACGCAATACAGCACAAAGTACCAAATTGTAAATAAGCAGATAGAACGGCCTTCGGCCAAAGTCCTACATAGCCAACGGCTGATACAGGACTATAATGGAATAATAATAATAATAACTAATATGCACAGACCACGAAAGCGGCAATTTTAACACTTGAAGTAGCTATCATACGCGCGTTCTTTAGCGTCGCGAGCTGGTAGCGGACCTCCTCTTCTTCATACTTCTTATCACTGCTAAAAATACAGGAGTACTTGAAACTACAGCTTTGCGGAGATCATCTAACACCCTATTTTCATCTACAATATTAAGTAGACTAGTTCCCGCTAGTCTCTTCTTAATCCAGTACTGTGCAAGCCTCACAACTGCATGCTCCGGTAAGCCATGTCTAGACCTGTACTGGTGCAGCGTTACCTGGTCACTGCCTTGCGTGTTATTGATTTCCGAAATGGGTGAAGGCTTAGCCTGAGCACTAGCGCAGTTGCCTATACTGTCAAACTGGGGTTTGAATTGCCCAGTCTCTTCGTAAAAACTTAAGCTTAGAGAACAAATTGCCTTTGCGATCGCAGAGTTCGCTTCGCAAAGCTGGCGAATATTCACAAGCAGCATTTCAATAGGCACCTGACTGATAGTTTGCAACGCAGCTTCGACGTCTTCGACCTTATTGGCCATAGTAGTAGATAAGAATCTAAGGATCTTTTCTACGTCTGGTGAATGGAGAAACTTATATATACACATAATTTCGAACTTAAGAGATAGGTCGTGATTTGTAAGGCGACAGCTAACTGAGGTGTACACAAAATCGAAGGACCTTCCTCTAATCACATACTTCTTGGCAATCGAAATCCCATTTAGGTTCGGTCTCTTTTTCGTATATTCGATCACGTCCATCGGATATCGCTAAATCATATGATAACGTTTCTACTTAGAGCTTAAGAAAATGAATTCAATGTTCTATTACGAAATGAACTATAATTAATTGTCGGCTGTGTTATTCCAAAAGCAAAAAACGACCGGGAGCGTAGTGAGAATTGAGTTTTGCCTAAACCGCCAATGTGGTAGCTAGACGCAACTGATCGATTGGGCTCATTTGTGACCAGGGCATACGCAAGAATTCGAGATCCTGGTTTAGAATTCGACTAGTTGGTCGAAATCGAGACAACCTATCGACTGTGTGTTGGTAGAGATGGTTCATATCTTCATCTGAGAGCTGCAGTAGACTTTCGATGTGTTTTCCAAGTGGGGTCGAACTGATAGCTCGCAAAAGAAGAACTGCCTTGAATCCACTGCGAATAATCAGTGTTAGATACACATCATGGGTAATACAGTAGTTGACTTACATATGAAGTGTATTCACAGGGTTACCCATAATTACCAGACTACTGCTTGTACCCCGAAATTTCTTGTACACATAACCATCAACTGCACCGATACAGTCAAAAGCGGTAATGCTGTCGAGAGCATATCTCGCCCACTGTCGGATGATATAGATGATACCTTGCTGGCCTTTGGATAGCTCTTTCCCTGGATCCTCCATTCGATCGAGAAATTTCAGAATTCTCAGGTACGGTAACAACAAGGCAGCTACACCCCCGTAGTACTCTGCTCGTAGCGAAGCCATCAAATGGTTACTTGACGGTGGATCTTGATCATTCCAGGCCACGTTTGAGATGTTACTTGATCTCCATCGCTCCATAATGTTGATCTTCAACTCTGCCGAGCTTGTGAAAGCGCACAGATGTTCATCATTGAAGCTTTCGATTGAAGCAAAATCTGGCGGTGGAATTCGCTTTGCAACCTGGAGTACCATCTGGAGCAGTATCCTTGTCCACAAAACATTATCATTAGGCTCTTCCACCGTCTCTCCAGGAAATAATGTGCTCCAGTCGTCAGAGTAAGGAATAGAACAGTCAATGCTGGCGTCATCATGAAAGTCGCTAGGAAAAGAGTCAGACGGGTACTCAGACTCATCATCTCAACTAACCTTGCAAGAATCTGAAAAATCCCAACGCTTCTCATTACTTCCCCGGAGGGGCACTTTCTCGCGGTCAAGCTGCTTATTATTAGGCTGGTTTTCCAGGTAAGAATAAATCGTCTCACCTTTTGACAACATCTGCGTAAATGGAATGAGAAGCGTGTAGGTGTATCAAGCTATTAGTAAGCATTCCGTTTTGGCTAGTGTAAATTGCAGCTAGAGTTGATGTTTTTGCGTAAGCAATGCTTCGATCCCTAAACTTACGCTTGAGAATATGTTGGGCTGAATGATAGTAGATCATGCCTGGTCTAGTATCAGAGCCCCCTGTATACTTAGCATCTGGGAAACAGCTTCCCATTGCGAGAAACAGTAAAGCCTGGGCATTTTCGAAGCTTGTTTCGACAAGATTTTTCCGCTCTGCTATGCGACTCATGTCGTCTTGAAAATGAACGCATATGTTCTCAGGCTTGTCGAAAATTGGATATAGGACATGAACGTGATTTAGATAGACACCGAATAGCTGTCGAATCTTTTTGTTCGAAAATGCTTCTGGTGTACCTTTTGGTTCAGGATCGTATAGTGTAAGATGTGTATGGGAAAAATTCATCTCAAATGCCTGTAGCCGGCCAGAAAAACTGGAAACTTGATTTTTTGTAACATCGACGAGCTTGTGTATCTTGAACAGCGTCATCTCTTGACTAATGGAAGTTAATAAAAACCTGTGAGTAGGCGGAGGGTACTATACGCAGTTGGTGGTGTATCGATATATTCGCATTCTCCATTTTCTTCATGACATTTGTTGCATGGAGACTCTCCATTGCATTTTTGCTTGCGTTTACGGCATCGATTGCAAGCTTTGGAGGTTTTATATCCTGAGGGTTGGCGTGCTTTTTGGGAGGCGTGATTTTGGTCGTGCTGTTGTTGGTTCGAAGGACGTTGATAATCCATCTCGCCCACAAAGAAAGGGTACGACATAGCCGAATTTTAGAAATGTTAAGTGGCTGTAATAAACAGGGGATGTGTTCAACTGTCTTTGAAAGATAATAAAGCAGTGTTTTTGGGACACAGCAATCAACAATAGCTACGATGAATGAAAAGCGAGACGAAGTGTGACTTATAAAAGCGAAACATGATGTTGGTATGTATGCACGGTCAAATGACCAGAGCTCTAAAAAGGGATTAGACATCTATCGGCCAGATGCAAAAGAAATTGGGTCCATGTTCATTGCCCAATTCGGTAGAGAGGCGCCACCTATGTCCACTTCACATCCTTCTTGCCTCAACTATTTGTCACGCTGGTACCTCTCAGGGGGTGCTTGGGACCAAACTCGCCGGTATGTCACCTCAACAATTGCAATCATGACATAGTCCTGTTAATTGGCTAGCATGATCTACTCGCAATGACTTAGAGTATCACCGTTTTGATGTAGTTGGAGGAAACCCGCATATGATACCATAGAGAAGATGTTGGTAAAAAATTATGCTGTAATACTTGGGAATACAAGACTATATGACAAGGTGACTTATGAGTCAAGAAGAGAGCGAACTTCCGCTTCAAGCACTGGAGAGCAGTCTTCCAATCGAACTTCTTCGCCCACTCCAATAGGCAAGTCATCTGGTAGAATGCCCTGATAAACAGGATCCTCGATAGTCATGCGCTTCTTTCTATACTCCAGCAACTCTGTGTAGGCATAGTCACCAATAATCTGTGGTAGTTGGTTCCTGATGCGCGTGTGTCGAAGAAGCGCGTCAAGATCCACTAGTCCTAAAAGGATCATCGTGTCTGAGTGGGTTGTGACGAGTATTTTGTGGCCGTGAACACCATCAGCAGTTGAGGAGAAAGACGCTACAGCTACGATTCCAGTGACATGCTCGGGAAGACTATCCCTTGCCTGAAAGGCGATTATATAAGTATTTCGCTAGGAGCAGCATACTTGAGAGTGGACCAGCTTACACTCGAGGTTTGATCTTCAGCATCTAGACTATGTCTGTCGTTGGCAGTGATGGCCTCAGTTGACGGATGAGGCGACTTCAATCTCGTGTTTGGTCTGCTAGGCCAACGACTAGACCTTGACTGTCTCGGGACCTGAATACATGAAAAGCAGAATCGCAGCCTGTTTATCAGTGTTTTGGTAACAGACTGTATATAATTAGATTCTGTATTCAAGAATGTGTCCCAGGATCCTTACTGTGATTGTATAGTGAATCGGCTTGCAACATCCCTTATCAAACTCTTCTATCTTTCTTACTGTTTCTTTGTGCATTTCCGTAGAACTGAAATCACGTCTGAGGAATTCTTCAAAAGCCAACTCCACTTCTTCATCTACCCCCTTTATGGTAGAGCCGAGTCCAACGGGTTGCGAGATAGCCATTCGAACATAGTGGGTACTGCCATCGCAATAAACGCCAAGAAAAGCCTTGATTTCTGGCTTCAAGGTAGCCAGCTGCTTGCATTCATCGTAAATATATTCAACAGTATCGTTGTGCTTGCTTGCGTGGTACCGATATGGCTCGGGATGGGGGAAGGATCTCGAACAACTCTTGCATGGATAGTTCCCCTCCGCTATGGTATGTTAGCTTTCATGTTTGCTTGAATTGCGCGAATGGTTCGAAAACAAAGTGTCTTACAATCAGGGTGAATGATAAGGCCTTTTCGGGTTGGTTGGTGCTCTAGAACATCAGGCTGAAAGTTTAGTTCCTTATCCTTTAAGTTTAGCTTGAAAATAGTGACAAACCATTTTGATAGTAGATCGAGCTTGAAAGCAGGCAACCGGTGAAGGACGCGAGGACGGTGAGGCAATCGACTGAAGGACGTTTTAGCCTTGCAGGAAGGGTGCAGGATATATGGATATTTCAGCCACCAGATCGTCAGCAGGATGTGAGGCCTATCATGGTGGATGCAAGGCATTTACTGCATAAAAGCAATTATCGTGGTATTTGGAACGCACAGGGGAGCTTTGTTGCCAGCTTCCCGAACGGATGTGTGGGGGGAGCCCTTAGGTGGCTGCCCGAGACCTTCGTATGATCATTACCATCCTTGCGTTTAGCTCGTCCTGAAATAGCCGGCAATAGCGAATGCAACGCGCGGCATTCATTTTTGCACTAAAAGTAAGACTTGAGCCGCTACTACCTGGACCATGCAGGTGCATGCAATGTGCCTTAAGATGTGGTACGACAGGGAGTTGGGAGCACTAGGTAATAAGCGCACTAAAGCTAGTGAGTCAGTGGACAGCCAAGACAATTCCTGACACAATGTCTGAATCCTTCTTGGCATCGGGAGTAACTTTCGACAACTATATTACAACGAACCAGAATTGTGCCTATTGATTCCCAACTCACAATGGCTACACCTGTTTTGCCGGATACGTCGGGGCTTGAATGTACCGTCATCATTGGCCCAGAATTCCAGTGCAGTGCATCTCCTAACGGTTCTATCACGATACAGACGAACACTGGACCAATCATTATCCTTCTGCATCGAATTGCTGATCAAAGGAGGATTCAGATCAACCCGGTTCACCAACAACGCATACCAGCAGTGCCATTTCTGTCTGAGATTAGTACCAGTCAAACAACATTCTGGTTTGCAGAAAACAGCGGTTCAGCAGATACACAACGAGAGAATAGCAATGGCTTGCTCGGAAACCCTTTTAGTGGTGAACAGAGAAACGCAGAAGCATTCAACAGCACGACGAACGAACTAGAGGAGGGGATCCATGCCAACCTGGGTGGGGATGAATACACATACAACAGTGCTAGCAGCAGTGGCAATTTCAACAAAATCAGGTCTGGGAAAAGGTCCAAACCACTTTCTTCAGACGAAGAGTTGAAAGAGTTTTGTCGGAAGCTCTCAATAAAGATTTTGGAGCAGTGGAAGTCAAGACATAAAGATGACCAGAGTTTGAAAGTACTGCTTTCTGATTGGAATACTATCTTCGGCCAGATCAACTATTCGTCTCCTGGACAATGGTCATACCAAACTATCATCAAAGCAGAGACACTTGGGGGTCTCCATCTACCATTCCACAAGATGATCCTCGCTACCTGGTGGAATAGTTGCTTAGAACGGCGGACTTCCGAGGTTACCGCACGTATCAAGAAACAGATGGTGTTAGCCTTAGAACCGGGCTTCGATAGTTTCGATGCCAAGGTACAGGATTCAAAGCGGAAACAGATCGATAGATGCATAATTCAGGGCAATGTCATCACCCTGATGTTCAATCGAGCGCCTGGTTTGGTCATCACAGCTGCTCGTTCTATAAATACAACCGAGTATGTCCCCATTTATCTTTTACACTACTGTGCTAACATTACCAGATACGAGATTTTGTGGAAGAACAAGCTCCATCCCAGTGTCTCTAGGTTAGACTGGTTAAGTGAGGAATTAATCAAGGACTCACAGCTGTACTTAGAACCAGTACTGACTATCCTTCATTTCTTGAGCAAAATCTTTGGTAAGCTAGATTATGCATCAAGAACGCTCCATCTATCGCTGACTTTCCTTTAGATATCCAACCGCAAAGCCCAAACCCACAAGCTAATTTTAGTCTTCCACAATCCCGAATAGAAACCGAGTCTCAGACGGATGCCGCATCCTCCTCCTGTCGAGCTATACATAGCCCGAAAGAGCCGGTTCCCTCCTACCAAATTTCTCTATGCGGTCAGCAGCTTTCTCTATGCGGTCAGAAGCCGTCTGAAGACTCTATCGAAACGATAGCAAACACTGCCAAAAGACGAAAAATCTCCAGAAACATATGCCTGCAGTCCCCGAAGGTATGCCCAATCTTAATATCAGAAAGTAACGGAAGTACAACCCAAGAAGAGAGTCAACACTACTCAACAGACCCCTCCATTCATCGAGAACATCACAACTTTGCACCACTGTTCGAAGGGGCAAGTCATTCAGAGCATGAGAGAGTTACCTCAACTTCTCTTGTAGAGACATACGGGGACCTCTTACCGATCTCAGAAGATGTAGAGGTAGGCCAGTGATCCGCAATATCATCCGTTGATCGAGCTGACTATAACAAGGACACGAACTTGCCTTCTTATGGGTTGTCAGATTTATTAGGACATGATGAAACAAGCTATTGTTTTGGTAAAACTTGAATTAATTCAGCTACAGATTCAAAAGTCTTGACGCACGGGGTCTCTTTTACTAAGCCTGGTTATGCTACTTCGACTTTTGATGTGAGACGGGGAACGAGAAGGAAAGGAGCTAGCGGCGGGACCATCTCCAAACTGACATTCTGTAGTACCAGGCAAAGCGAGTCTGACTGCAATAGTGCCTCGCTTTTTATCTTAGGAAGTGTAAGACTTTGCGTAAGAAGCTTCGTGTTCATATCTGTAATGTTGGCAGGTTTTAACGTGGGGTCGATCTCTAGGATGCGACGAATAATCGCTCTGTGTGTTTCCGTATCTACAGGAAGGCATTGAAGGAGAAATATTTCGTCAACACTTGTGTGAAGTCTGGCTTTGTGAAGCAGTAGTACCGCAGCCCGGGGATACGCATGTTCGTTCGGCTTCGGCTCTCGGATCACTGCGCCTGTTTCGGCTATGTTGTCTTTATATTCCTTGAACGTTGTCATTACTTGCAGAAATCTACCTTGACTATTGGCTTACGCTGTTGAGGATATCGGTGCGAAGACAATCAAATTCTGAGATCCACCTGTATGCAAAAACCCCGTCTTTCAGCTTCGTTATGCCCTGTAGATGTGATTGAGATCCTAGGAGCGGTGCAATCTCCTTGAGACGATTTTGCAAAGCTGGGGTTTTTCCAAGGTTTGCGAGCAATAATGGCAATCTGACGTCCGATTGGGTCGATTGTTCGCTGGATTCGTAAGGAGACATTTTTCCGTACACAAAATTCCAACTGGTAAAGCTGATGTCAAAGTGTAGCCGGCGATATCTTATACAAAGGAACATGACCGAATGCTAGATGTGGCGCTATGTGAAAAATGACCGTGCACGTCCGCAGCCCACCTCGCCCCGGACACTTGGCACCAATGACCGTCCAGATAGTACTAGCGCAAATATTGTAGCTAGGATCACTAAACCCGCTTACCACATCAATTTCCATGCGCCATCCTCTTTTTTTACCATCACGTGCATAGTGCTTATGTACTCAAGTGACTGAATAACCTCATGATTAATTCTTTTCATCATCTTTGAATGACCAACTGATACTAGCCAACTAACAAGTAGTAGTATTGTACAGCTCGATAATAACACAGTACCTAACGCGATGACTTGTGGACAGACTATCCACCATTTGTCATGCGCTTATCGGTACCAGTCGGGCGCGCCTGACTACCATCGCTTCGTAATCCTAAATCTGCTGTTGTATAGGAAGGGGGAATGCTTGAGGCCCCATTTACGGATTGGTTGTAGTTATTACGAGTAGTTGATTGCTGTGAGGTGGTGGCTTGGCTTGGCGAAGGATTGATATTCTGTCGGCCTGGCTCTTGAGAGTTGGACATAGTAGCAGCTCAGTAAAGACTGCTGTGGATGCCTATCTGTGCCAAAAAGGAGTACCTGTTGCTCCGACTCTGTTAACTTTTATTCGGACGCTTGGCCTTAGACTAATCTACAGGCTATCTCAGTCCTCTAAGAAAACTTTATAACATATAATGAAGGCTACAGAAAGGGTACGGGGCATACCAGTGAGCCCTATATTCATGAAGATAAGAAAGGACGATATATCAAGTTTATTGGAGATGTCGAGGTATCAAAGGTTTGGAAAGGGAAACAGCGTGAGCAAAGACGATATACTAAGCGAGACGAAGAGTAGTGGCCTTGAGGTATTGATAAATGGAGGTTAAGTATGGTACTTTATACTGGTAATTATGACCCTACACACGCTTGAATTTCCTTCCATCGCCTATAAGCAAGCCTCTCATCTACATTGTTACGATCAGCCGTTTTCAGAAGCAGCAAGCGATCGCCATATCCTTGGACCATACCAAGACATACGCTATTTACCGTCGAACCCTTAAATTTACAAATGTCTACAAGCACAAGTCCGTGTTTGAAGAAGACGGCATCATTGCTCGCTTACACATCCCTGCTCTCTTCGTGTTCAGAAGCGAACTGGAGTCCACGCGATTTCAGAGTCCTATTGCTGACCGCCTAGTTTCAGGTCGAGCACGTGACGAACAACAATAGACATGATATGCGAGCTCTTCAACCAACTATACAGTCGTACACAAAAATGCCATAGGAATACAATGAGCTCAGATAACTAGCTATTACTGTTAGTTATCGGGGATAGTGCACGCCTCGGTCATGTGCTTTACCGCGTCATTTGGTGGGGTTTTCTGATCAGGCATCATCGCGCCCCGCAGTTCTGCCACTGCAAATCTTTGGGCATCGCTCTCAACTCTATTGCTATTTATCACACATCCTTACTATGTATTGAGCCCCGCGACATTTGACGGCCTTCAGGGTTTCTACACGACTGTATGTATTCATGCTAGTTCTTAATGCGCAAAATTTTAACTTGAAGAGTTACATAGCAACACGCCCCGCCTCTAATCCGATTTCCTCCCAAGCGACAACCTTCCATCGATCTTCCAAGCCAAACTACAAGATATATGCTTATTTGTACTGGACGAGTATTTTATCGACATTATTCTACTGCAGCTTGTCACCCGAGAGTAATGCCGACAGAGAATGGACAGCAAGCATTAGACGGGGAGCGGACTTATATTCAAGGCGAACGGTTCGAGATACATGATTATATGGAGATAACATTTGAAGGTCAATCTTGCAATATTCTTGATAAGGAAGGAAGGGAAGTCTTCGCCTTCCGTTCGCATGATGGCATAAAAACAGAAAAAGTCCTTCCTGGGTACAAATGCTATGTGCTGGAAGGGTGGGTGCAATTTCAGAAGAATTGACGGACTTCTGTACCCACCATAGCTATAAGTGCGTTCCTCTCTGTACAGGAGTTCCCAGATCTAATAAATGAAAAATATTCCACCCTTCATTGTAACTGAGCCTGATGACACAAAAAACATCCTCATTGCTCGTCTTAGGAAGATGCAACGATAGGCAATTCGTGACTGCGAGCCCTCCAGCTTCCATCTCTTTCTTCCACAAGCTACTTGTTCTCATTCCGATCAGGAACAAATCCGGAAGCTGCTCGATCCGTTCATGTTTCACGAAAGAAAAAGAGTAGTATTCTTCCGCTGGCCACAATACACTCCCTAATGAGGTTAGCGAGTACTGTACATCGAAATAACAGAATTCGACTCGCCAGAAACACGAATTGATTCGTTTTGTGGTTGCTTTGGTGCGGATTGTGTAACAGAGCGTAGGTCTTCCTCATGTAAAACACGTTTCCTCTTTAGTGAGTTTTGGGCGTTCGCTGGTTTACCTACCCCGATTTTTTGTTAGCGTCATCAACGCAAGACTACTCAGTGACACATCTGACAGATACCCTTACTTTGGGGTGTTTGGGGGTTCTCTAAAGATGAATTATTCACGTTAGGTTCGCCGGACATCTCGAAACTATCGCGTTTTTCGATCAATGCATGCTGAGAACCGCAGCCGTCGAATACCTCCAATTCGAACTCATAATATTCTGTACGCCGTTTTAGCTGTGTAAACACGGAGATTATAAAAAGCTTACTCTTCCAGAATTCATTCGTACTTTTTTGTCTGGGCGTTTTCGTTATCACCTTCCTAATCTGATCCTTTGCTATCCAAGCTGGTGGGAAGGCCTGCGCCTGCGTATACTGCTCTGCATGGTTCATGAGCCAGCCAAACCGCTCTTCCGGCATTGTTGCGAGAGCAGAGAAGGACAGAGTGCAGAATATTAGAGTGCGAAAGTCTAATGTCTGCAACTGTGACCATCGTAGGCTGTTTGGCTTCTCTAATAGCGTTTTGAGGTTAAAGCTCAGCCGGCGAACTGGCACAGGCTTCTGCTTTCTTATGAGGCAGCTTGTTTCATCGAAAACGGCTTGAATAGCGATCTGAGAAGATAAGTCTGAAATTTTGATGCTCAATGCGGTAAAATCGATATCGCAAAGCCCGAGCATAGCGGTGCTGATATGATCGAGCTGTTGGCAGAGAGCGACTGACGTTGTGGAATGCATGAAAAGTGAAGTAGAGATTTGAACTGCCGTGCAATCGACTTCGAGGGTGAACTAATTTAAGGTCTTTTTCAACGCCCAGGGCGGTAGCGCCGACATTCATGCAAAGACCTCGGCGTTTACATCATATGCATGGTCATCTTTGTGAGCGTCGCTCATTGGAGAAATGGTATCAGTGCATCAAGGGCCTGATCGGCAAAGCAATGGCGCCCTGCAGAGCGTAGGGCAAAGCACGCCCTAAGTGATTTATTCTAACCTAATTCCACTAGTGGTCTGGCGATGTATGAGCCCAAGCGACATGCATAGCTATACCCTAGGTGGACTAGAGTAAGCGGCTGGACTTTTGCCGTAAAACTATTACGGGAGAATGCGCCACGCCTAGACCTGTGGCACAAAGCATAGACGAAATGTATTCTCATATTGGCTAGATATCTTAGATAAGACCTCTTTTGCGTGACATTAATGGTTCCGTGTATAGGCTGGTCGCAGTGCACAAAGGGATGCGCAACAATCTAACTAGCGAACGCAATCGGACGTGGTGAGGTAAGCTATCAGGATTAATCAAAGCAACCTGAAAGCTTGTAACATCAATATTATCATCTTGGTGGCGTGTGTGCATTTGGAACTTTATGCAGAGTACTTTACATAAGGAAGCGGGACACGCTGATCTTTTGATATAGGTCCTGGTTATGGCTACCTGCACGTTAAAGTGGTATCGGCTACACCCAAACTTCGTGCTAACCTTACACGGCAATCCAAATAACCCCTGAGGGCGTCCATCCCTTCCCGTTCTTCCTGCAAGTGCCGTTGCTTCCGCCAATGTAGTGAATCGTTAGATGTTCACCAAAGATCTTACACCTCAACAACATCCATGGACAGATGCTACGCAGATGCAGGCTCCATGACCCAAAAAATATATTGGCGGGCCTAATGCAAGGTATTGCATACGGGTCTCCTAGAAGTCACGTATTGCGCTGGCTGATATTGGCATATAGCTGTTCACGACAGTATATAAACGGTGGGAAGTCTTTTGATTTTCACAGTCACTCTCCAGCTATCAACTTGCCGATTCCCCTTCGATCTTTAGCTTGTTAATTTCAACCTTAGGACAGTACTGTTTCCTCTACTTCCATAAGTGAGCTTCGTATCCTAGCTCTAAGCAAAGCCTTTACTCGATTAGGGAAACACCTTTGTAATGTAGCTGCACCATGCATATCAGCAAGGATCTCTTCTGACTCGTTCAAAGAATGTCTAGTTATCCCCTATTTATCGTGACTTATGATCGCGGTGAGCGCTGGGACGACCCCAGTAAGAAGAAGCCGTTCCATTGGGCCTTCTTCCTTAAGACCGGGAGCACCGCAGGTGAGGGTCTTGCATTTCAGCTTCGCGGAATGCCAGGAGCCTTTTACTATCCAGGGGAAGAGAGGGTAAACATCAACTTGTCCGGAAGCAAGAACGGAGAGCTCGAGATCGGGGCCATTCCTGTGAGCAAGTACGACCGCTTTAAGCAGCTTTTGGCAGCTGCGCCTATTAAGAATATTGAATCTTCGAATTGGAACTATCAAGACTGGAGTTTGAGTGTCTTGGAATGGCTTCGGCAGGAGGGATTCATTGGGGAGGAGTATCAGAACAATGTTATTAGATATTGGCTTCGAGAGGACAAGTAGTTCTGACTAGAAGGCATGTAGATGATGTTTAGGCGAGAGGGCTTCGAGGTTCAGAATTGCTGGAGAATACACTCAATCTGTAGTTCGGCCAGAAAATGATCCAAGACTTCCCCTACAAGTACTTTCCACCATTGCATATACCTGTTCCCAAACAAAGATTTAGTATACTCCCAATATTCTGGCCACCAACCAGCCATCTCCCAATCGATAATCCCAGTGATCTTTCCAGTGGACGGCTCAACGAGAATATGATCCCCACACAGGTCTGCGTGCGTAAACATGACCTTGTAATTGTCGGCTAGTTGTTGGCGATAAGATACTGCGAGTTCAGGGCGAGGACATCGTTTGACGGGCGTGACAAGGAAATTGTGAAATTCAGACACCGAGGTGAAAGGACCGCAAGGAAGACCGTTGTTCAGACGATGATCATAAGCTGGTCCACCAAGACAAGATCCGATAAAGGTAGTCTCTGGAGCCTGGATAGCCCGTAACTCACTAAGGTATTTGGTGAGATCCCGTTGCGTCGTTGCTTGCGCTTCTTCGCTCATGCGCGTCCAGGTATCAGTCAGAGGCAACCCCGGAATGAGGACCATAGAAAACCAACTGTCACTCTCCTGGATATGCGATTCGATCACTGTAGGCACAGGGATCGATGTGTTGCGCTGAATGAAGAAGATAGCGTCCACTTCTCTCTGAATTTCGTGGCGCGTTCCATGCTTGATGAAGATAGAACCGTCGGACTTTTGAGCCCGCTTGGCTAGGGGCTGAGTGACAGGACCGGAAAATGCAGGTAGTATGCTTGACATGGTTGGCGCTGTGTATGAGCAGCCGCGAGAGGTCTTGGTGCAAGTTCAAAAGTTGAACAATCTTCTGGGTAACTAGATGTAGATGGCACAAAGGTAAAGAGATATAGCTATGCTAGATTGGTTGCCGAAGCTATATTAATCTGATTGCATCCTTAGCCTATTAACCACGCACGACAAGCATCTGACCGAATGCAGCCACAGTAGGTGGTCAGTGCATGTAGTACCTAGTGCCAAACGTGCCATAACGCACAGACCAATCAACAATTTGGGAACCGACGTGGTGCCGAGTCAAGCTCCTTAGGCCTGCGCGTCGTCGCGTACAATCACGATTTTCTCGCGCCATCGCTAAGATACATTACATGTTGCTTTTCACCATTCTTAATCTTATCTCACTCTTTATAGACAACGTAGGACCGTGAGCGGCTGTGTGCATAACAGCACTGTGGCACTTTTTGGCGACTCATGCATCCTCGAGGATGTCTACGCAGTCGCGATCACAAGTCGTACAGTCTAAACCGATAGGTGAAGAGTTAAATGGCTTTTGGAAGACTTTCAAGTCGATATGCAAAAATATAGGCATTCCCACTTCTTCGCAAGCACTTAAACAGGTAGGCTACGAAGGTAGTACAGGCTGGCATCGCTTCTGCACATCTGACGCATATACAGAAACCCAGGACCTATTCGTAATCTTCTTTCCGTTTTGCAAGCCCTTCCGGCGGCTCGATTTTTACGGTCCCAGCATTAAGGCAAAACCTTCTCTCATAACCTCCTGCGGCTTAATGCTGCAGTCAGCTCGGATAACTTTGACGTCGAACGAATACGACCTCTGCTCGATGCGGTCCTCGAATTTCAGCCCGACGAAGTCGTCTTGGATAGAGTACACGACACCGTCACTGAGTCAACGCCTCTACTCCACCCTGCATCGTCCTTTCACCAAACACCCCTTTTCATCAACACGGTCAGTTTCGCGAACTCCACCGAGTACCGCAAACACGTAGACAATGTGCTGAAGGGGGCGTTAGAAGACATATACGTTGGCATACCCGGTTTCGTCGAAGCATTCTTCGGAGATTTACCAGATCTAAGACCGATGGCACAAGCTGTTTTTGACGAGTGCAAGGAGGGAGATAAACCACTCTTCCAGGTAGAGAGCGATTGGCAGAGCTGGCTTGAGGCGGCGAAGGAAAATGACGTTTTGAGCTGGTTTGCCCCACTTACAGAGCGGTTGTTGGGCCTTGCAGATGGGTGTCAGTCAGTATCTAGGATACGCCGGTGAACACTAGCACAGCCGCATCAGCCTCTACAAGGCTCCACTGCCGATCGCAAGTTGGACATTGGCTTTGTGGACGATCCGAACGCCGGCATGAACTCGAAATGTCAATGGTCACATATCCTTGTACCCGGACAGCTCAAGAGCAACCCATCAGCCGACAAAGCGTCCAAGGCGTGACTCGACCTTGGCCGATACGCGAGGGATGTGCTCGCTGCCCAAGCGAGTTGCTGCGCGAGGCAACTGAGATGGACGTGATTAATGTGGCGAGATACTATCATCATGAGACGGTTCGTGTGGGCATGCAGGACGACTCCATCTGCGGGAACGTGCGACAAGGTCTTGATATAACAAAAGCGACAAACTACAGGCCAGAAAGCATAATTCCATATCTAAGCACAGTTCGCTCCCTCTCAAGAAAAGGCCGAAGCAGCAGCGCTACCGAACGGAAGCGATCCTCGAGTTGCACGAACGCATCTTTACCGCCTAGCAAGCAAATTTGTTCAAGCTCTCCTGTAAAGGGAGGAAGAACAACAGTGGATCGAGTGCACTGACGCGTTGTTGTCCGAGACTATGGGAAGCCTATATATATGGCGAGTTTCAGGGCTAGCCTTCTGACTGCGCTAGAAGGCTGTATTACAGGGTACGAGTCGTTGCATACGCGGGTCGGCATGCTACAATGCGACATTTCGCCGAACAACCCTATGGTGAACGAGGATGAGGACGAGGACAATCCTCCTGGCATGCCTTCTTGATCGACCTAAACCTTGCTATCAAGGAATATCGAGAGAAACCGTCAAGAGCACGAGGGAAGACCGGCACGCGAGCGTTCATGGCGATCGGGATACTTTACGACGATGAGCAGCATTCTTTCATGCACGACCTAGAATCTTTTTTCTGGATGCTGTTTTGGATATGCATTCACTATAACGGATCGCAGGGAAGAGTAGTTCAGCAATTTGGCAAATGGAACTATGCAAACATGGAGGAGCTAGCCAAGCTAAAACTGGGCACAATATCAGATGATGAGATTCTTTCGTAAAACTATTCTAGAACACTTCACAGACTATTACCAGCCACGTATATCTTGCGTTGATAGATTACGGAGAAAGATATTTCCTAGAGGTGGAAGGATGAGGGTTCCGAATCTAAGGCTGTACTTGGATATGAAGGAGATCCTAAGAGCAGCACGAGATGACTTGAAGGAGTCATAAGGATAAGGAGACGTATCGATCAGCATGCACCATGTGAACCAGCAGAAATAACCAACGACTGCTAGTATAGCTATGTAATCCCGTCTGTTACTTTGCTGGTAATGTGGTGAGATTATCTTTCCAACCTCGCAAGTCAATCACACTTGGGAAGCGAAGGACTCTGGCAGTCGACATGGAACACTTCTGAAATCGTGAATTGAACAGTGTGCCTATAAACGATACTCCCTTTGCTGATCAAGTCACCTGCATTGAGGACCCACAGTATGTCGCGACGACATGTCGCGAGGTTGAAAAGCAGGGTCAGCGTCATAGCCTGTTCATCGCTCTACCCCGCTTACCCCGCCCAACCCGCCCACCCCGGTTCCAATCGACAATAGGTAGGCCATAGCCTGTAGCAGGTCTTATGTAGTGCGGAAGCGCTTTGTCCTTACCGATCGAGGAAGTGTGCAAGGTATGCAAGTCGTGACCCCGCGCGACGTGAATGCTATTTCAACTGCCTCAGCGTACTGTCACCCTTACAACATGTGGTGGTTAGATCGCTTCTCGCCAAACATGTTCACCTGCTCTCCACCGCCCGCAGTGATTTGCGCTGAGAATATCGCCCTGCTCTATCTCCTCCATCCGGTCCCAGTCCCACCTTCCTGCAATGAGATTAAGAAGCCTCCATTTCGCCAAGGGAGCTATTCATTGTCATTTGTCCAGGAGCGAGAATTGGCTAGCACATTAGCCTTCCTCTCTAACACTAAAGATGATCCCAACCATATACCAGCCCTCTGTGTTGAGGAGAACCCTAATTTGGTGTCGTTAAATGTTGTGGTAGCTGTGAACAAGAAAAATGGGGAGGATGGTAACGAGGTCCTCCAAAAGATAAAGCAGAGTCTCGAGAAGATCTTCACAATTCTGTCAGAGTTCTCAGAAGGTATGTACTATAAGCTCCTCTATGCTTGCCGATAATAACTGTTATAAGAGCGAGACAACAACCGAGCAATAGAACACCAAATCTTCAATGCAATTATTTCTATATGTTCCCATCGCATTCTAAGCCGTCTGAGGTTCATGGCTACAAAACGGGGTACTCCTAGACAGCCCCTCAGGGTTATTCTAGGCGAAGCTATCAATTCTCTCAAGCAAGTCAATCATCAAACTTTGAACAGCCTACCGTTCAGCTTATTCACGGAAAGAGCTAAAGATGTTGTTAGACTAGCTGACGCATGGGTTAAGCATCAGAAGCTGGCGGAGTTAGGAAATCTGGTGGAAGGCATCCACCAGTTAAAGCAGACCAGAGATCTTCAAGCCCTGCTAGACTCGATACCGAATCGTGCAATGGACCCAAGTTCAAGGCAAAACCTATTTAACATTATTAAGAAAGTGTCGAGATATCGAGAGGCTGCACGATTTCTGTATCGTACAGCCAAAAAGATTCCCTTGCTGCGGCGAGCGAAAGTTGTTATCGCCAGTCTGCCTAAAGAAGTTTTTGATCGAGTTTCGGACGAAAACTGTACTCCACAGCTCACGTCGACGATTTCAAGAATGAACACAAATTGCCAAGGGCCAGTCGTCCGCCACCTCTGTCGTCTCCTGAACACGAGTGGTCCACAGCTGAATGATCAGTTTGCTGATCAAACAAGGAAAATGATGCGGGAGGCCAAGATACATGCGGAAATTCAGCTTGTCTTCCATTATGAGTTGAATGTTTCGAGGTTACCACCACGTGTTGTTTGTTCTAGCAAGGATGCATGCTTTCTGTGTAATGCTTTCATTCTGATGCATGGGAAAATGCACACACCCCGATACCATGGGCGGTTGTATCCTGGATGGAGATTGCCATCGATGTCTGATCTTAACGATTTGGATATACGACTCAATTCGGCACTCGAAGATCAGATTAAAGATAGCCTGAAGACACTGCTATCAAGACAGAAGAAGACTATGTACCCAGATCCAAACGAGAGCACATTGCTTACACTGCCATTATCTACATCAACGTTGCGTACACCAGCTCTAGTAGAAGTAATTGAATGGGAGAAAGCATCTGCAAAAAGCTCTTTAGTCAACGACACAGCTAGACTCCGGGAACGCACAATATCACCCAAAGACCGATCGTCAGTCTCCCTCGCAGAGTGCATTGGCACTGTTCCTTCCGCACTTGGTTCGAGAAGTGCTATCACGGTAGAAGATGATGAACTTCCCAAGATTAGCTTGTCAGACCAAGCTGCAACGCAACTTTCCGCTCAATGCAGTCATCAAACAACTCGACATGAAGTTATAACATGTGAAACTGAAGAATTGATTCAGGGTATGTCACAGGCTAGAAGTGTTATCGCGTGCGAACCCCAATTTCACACTACAGATGAGCTTGAGATTCATATCGAGCATATCGCAGAAATGTTGGTACCAGGTGCAAACAGAAGTGATTTAGAGATTGCCTATAGCATCGAATGGCTTTCGGTCGAAAAGGCAAAGGAGCTACTAGAACATAAGGAAGCCACTATCGTAGACATAGAAGCGTTGCAATGCGGAGCCTGGCATACAATAGATTGCCACGATGATATACTCATTATGGCTCGAGGAACTCTTGTCAGAATCACACCTCGAAATGAAAAACAGAGAGAGGGGCGGGGGTAGAAGGGCGAGCACTTTGAGTCGTGTGATGTGTGATCTTATAACGAAAAAGTACGGAGAGACTTTCCTTAACTAGTTTAGATGCGACTGTATCCTTCAACTAGGGGTAATATTAAGCTTTCCCACGCAACTTCGTGTACCAGCGTACTTGCACAGCTCCATGAGATCTATTTGGAAACTGATGATAGATCCAGTTCCAAGATTTGCCTTCCTCTTTCCAGGGTTTAATTTTTGATCTTAGCCATTTGTAGATCGTTGGCTGGAGTCAGTGATATGTACTGTGCATGGAAGGCTGAGCGGTGCGCTCCAAGATGGGACTAATGACTAGCGCAGCGGCAGAGAACATAACCCCGCTTTTCTCCTGCTTATAAGGTGAATAGGAAGCTCTGGCCTTCCTTGTGCCATAATAATACTTCTTCAATTTTGTAAAATGCAATCTCTCCAGCTTCCCCCGTCTGTTGAATCCGAACCTCCCTATTATGCAATGCCAAGGCCTGAACAAGTAGATATCTGCTATCGCGCTGCATGTAACGGACATACTTGGGAACAAGCAAGCAAGCACGCTTGCTTGCTTGCTTGCTTGCATATCACGTTTAGTTGCTTGCCTATTCAGGCAAGCCAAGCGCCTCTCTACAAACCTGCACCAATCAAGTGCAAGCCAAGCGGGCCTCTCTAAATTAGCAACCAAGCGTAACAAGCAAGCAAGCAAGCACGCTTGCTTGTTCCCAAGTATGGTAACGGAGACCATGATACTCTTAAAGAACAGGCTGGCATGCTACAACATTCTCTTAAATTTCGTGTTTTTTATTTTCCTAGGTTTTCAGATCAATTGTACCAAGATCCAAGACGCAAATAGCCGATCGATTAAAAAAAGGGTTTGACATATCATCAGTCAAAAAATGATAATAATTAGAAAGATCCAGACTTCCTCCTTGCGATGACATAAACAATTACATTGCTAGGATCGTTTCTTCAATGTGTAGTAGCGCAGTTTTACTGCACCAGGCGACCGACTAGGGAAGCGTTTACATATCTCTTCCCACTCCATGCCCTGCTTATCCTTTAATGAGAATAAAAGAACTTCTTCTGACTCTAGCCATAGCTTATGTGTTCGTTGGCTGTGTCCTCTTATATCTTCCTCTCCATTCTCATCGTCTTCGTCCCAGCCGTCATTTGAGTGGTCCGTTTCATGACTTACAGCGTCATTATGGGCACTGCTTATTTGCTTCTCATTCAAGTTCCCGCCGTTAGAGAGACCTGAAGGACTGCCGTTACAGCGGTATCCTAGCAGCAACCATGAATCCGGCGATAACTGGGTTATGCGGATAACTTTGCCTTGTTCGCCAATGACCTTGTGACCTAGGGGCATTAGGTTGAGGGGATGATTTGGGTTGGGAAGATGTAATATTGCTGTTACGACCGAAGAGTCATCTGGAATAGCGCAAAGTGTTAGATCCGTGATCTGACAAGACATGCTAGATCTCGATTCATAGTCGATATTATTTCCATCTTCGGCGGTCGTGCCTAGAGAATTCGATGCTGAGAGGTAACTTTGAGACCCTTTATCGGTGTTGAGCCGCTCCGATATCGGACTTTGGTGTAGCTGGGTCAATCTTACTTGTTGTGGTGGCTTCGTAGGTGCTGTATTGTAATCCACTGATCTGAGAGCAGTGTTTGACTTCCCACATCCCATCTTAGATGTCCAAGCCCTGCGTCTAGGCCGTTGGGATCTCGATGAAGGGATGATACATGACCCATTGCGGCTAAGTCTCTTTCGAACAGTTTCCCCAGCTTTCCTACCGCTACTTTGTCTATTCACCACATCCCTACCGGATTCTTGGCCAATGTCTTCTTCTGACTCCAGTCTTTCGGAAAGGGGTATAGATCGTCGTGCTTGTAGTCGCTCTTCGAACGATCTCTGGATATAAGTGCCGTCGCGATGTTCTGCACCGTAGAAATCAGTTGTAGGCTGGGCTAGACTTGTGGTATAATATTCCTCGTGGCCAGAATTTGAAGAACTGAGAATAGAGCTCTCACGAGTACCAAGCCGGGAAGACTTGGCGTAAGGATGCGGCAAGGGCGTTCGCTTAGGCATATATGTACGTTCGATTGTGGGGCTCTGTGCCTCTCGCTCAGCCATCCTTCGCCGCTTCGATGGACGACGACGATCAAGCTCTGGATCCGACACAGTGTTCGGCACTGCTTCTAGGATACTTATTGTCTCATCAACAACCGAAGATTGATGCGATCGTTTTTGGCTGTTTGATGATCCATTTACCACACTAGCGACGCCGGAGAACGTATCGTCTTCCACTGATGGTCCTTATTTGACTGCGTCAATGCAGTTCCGTGTACTGATAAGACAATTCCACTCACCATGGTAAGTATGTTCAATATCCTCTATAGAGAAAGCGTACTCTACTGCTGTATGGAGATCTCTGTGCTGTATGGCGCTGTCCCTACCGTTGGTAGTGGCGAGGTATTGGCTTTTGTCTTGAGAATTGGGGGAGCCATTGCTAAGACGAAACTCTGTGACGTTTTGGTGATTGTCAGTCGCACCAGTTTCGGTAATCAGATGCAGGTCTATCCGGGATTAGTAAAGTCAGCACTGCAATCAACTTGAGTACTTGCCTCGACCGCCTCCATCGAACGACTTATTCAAGGCTAAACCCAATGTTACGTGGTCCATAACTCCCTCATCGCACAACTCACGGCGAAGTTGGTAGTGGCTGTCACCCTTTGCAAAATCATGTGTGTCTGTTCTATAATTCATTCCCAACAGATCGCATTTTTCTGAGTTCATTCCCTCAACGTCTTCCATATGGCCTGTTGTCTGTACTTGTGGTATCTGCAGAGGGACGGTGGGAAGGTTGCTTTCGCTTTCTAGATATGACTCAGTCCGCATTGATTCGCTTACATAACTAGTGATCAAGAATTACCTTGGAGTAGCAATCCTAAGGGTTGTGTCGCTACTTCCCCATGATTCCTATAAATATTCTGTTCGGCCTTCTTAGCCTTTGGCTTAGATTTCGTACGCTTGAGTAACGTAGGATCGTAATGTCTGAACTCAGATGAAGTGTTCTGAGGAACTGAAGTAAAAGCAGCCATGATAGGATTTCGATGGAATCTGATTAACTCTGGCCGAAACAACAGTGCGGTATCTGAGGATTTAAGTAGAAAACCATTCGGTGAGCCAAGGACCTCCCTAAGTGAGCAAACATCTAGCTCGGAACGCTAAATCGATTGCAGTAGGCTATCCTCGGTGTCCCCGACGAAACCTACTTCATCTGACTGTGTCCTGCTCTTGACTTGACTACTGCTGCGAGAACTTCTAAGGGTTTGCGTGAGTCCATGAGCGGGTCCGTTCCTGGATGAACCAATCACACTAGAGGGAGTGGTCATGGTATCTATTTGGCCGAAGGAGTGCGAGTGACGACGCCGGAGACCAGAGCTAAGACACGAGCATGAAGGCTATCCATTGGACAGCGCTCTACCTTCCGTCAAAACGGTGGCGGAAACGGCTGTAATCATCCCTCGTAGTCCATGCTAACTCAAATACCGATGCCGAGCTATTGACTGCAGGCGTCTATGCAAACGCTCCCTGCTGGTCACACTGCAGCGTTACAAAGGAGAGAGAAATCGTTTGACCGCGTCATCACCAACAAATCCAGCTCTTGCAGACCGCAGATAACTAAGCTCAGATTGGCCAGCGTGTTGTGTAGAAGGTCCGAAAGTTGAAAGAGGCAATATTGGGTGACCAGAGCTGAGACATGAGCGCCATTGACCGGAAACTGTGTCATTCTAGCCAGAGCAAGATGTGGTCAAAGTTCTGTCAATCTCTCACCTGCTACGCCAACGGCGATGCCGAGCCGCCAGCGGGCTGTCTCCTGACCTCTGACCCTTGCTTTTCGCACTGCAACAATGCAACACTACAGGCACTACGGACGTGCTATGCGTGGCGAAGTAATATGGATCCCTGAGCGCAAGACTAGCGTCATATGCGAGTAAGAAACCATACCCAGGAAGGAGAGAGCCCGCTCGGGCATGACGCGTCCTAACGAGGCAGATTAGAGGTTACGCTCCATCGAAGGAGCAAGGTGTGGGAGGCAGAGTAGCCAGAGCTGAGATTACGGCATGGAATCTCATGCAGACTGCCTTAATTAAGCTATGCGTGAGGCAGTGCATTGCAGAAGCACTGATGCCTCAGTGATCCAGAGAAAAAGGAGAAAGCGAATAGGTTAATCAATCAGCTGCGTAAGTGACTGAACCTTGCGAGGGGCGAACGCCCCTCCTTCAACCGTGGATGTGCTCCATATGAAGCTAGTGCAGCAACTATCGACGGAACCTAGACATAGTGTACGATAGGTATTCTGCCAGTATGTTCATTACTGTTACTGTGTGTTGCATTGCGACGAGAAGTTCAGAGATGCGTGAATTGTCGGAGCCCAGCGTGTGCGAAGACTGGGGAACCAGACTCCGTCAGGACCAAAGAATTCTGAGAGAGGCGGGCAATTCAGAGATAAAGGGGCACTAGAGCAAGGCGGCCTGATTCATCCAGGCTGGTAGCCAGGCGTGAGACAATTGCCGCTTGAAGAATGGTTCAGCCGTATGGGAAAGGGGCGGCGACTGGGCGGAGAGGAGGGATTGTGAATAGAGGTGATAAGGGTAGAGAGTATTGGACGAAGAGGGGGATAGAAGATAACGTTGGAAGAAGGCTTTTTATGACAGACGTTAGGGTCAATTTCCAATTCAAGCGTAGTGTAAAAGCCGTACACGAGGTCCGGATTACCTTAATAGGGTGCATCAATTTCCTAATGCAGACTTGCCGTCTGATTGTTTACTATATTAATTACTAGCTTTCTTCTTTTATCTATTTTCGCTAATTCTACCGTCGGCTTACTATAGTATATCTTCTTATTTCTCTTTTATTCACCTTATCAAAATACTAAGACTTTATACTTTCTAATATAGTTTTTCTATATAATACGTAATATAATAGATTAAGAGATATATAAGTAGAATTGTACTACTATTAAAGTTATTCTAAGATTAACGCATATTTTCTTGACTAAGAGTTTATTAAGTTCTCTAATAAGTTGCTTTATATCATTAAGCTTTCTTTTCTTTATATATCCAGAACTTCAAGTATGATACGTTAAGCTAGCTAATTTATGTTATTAGTTTACTTCTAAGAAGTCCTTTATAATTTCTAAAGGGTATAGTTATTAATTAGATTATGTTATCTCTAAGCCTAATATAGAGAAGATTAAGGCTTTATCTATATCTATACTGTAACGTTATTATAAGATTATTTATCTTACTTCTAGTTCTATTAATACTAATACTTTATCTTAGCTATCTTTTCATAGGAGGTTTATTAAGATTAAGAATCATTCTAAGCATAAGCTTAATATCTAGACCTACTCTAGTTATTTAGTTACCTAGGCTAATATTATTATTAGTTCTCCTTATAACGCTTATTAACGCTGCTCTTACTATAAGTACGCTAAAGACAGATTATATAGTACTTATAATAGAATCTACTATAACAAATGTAAGTATAAGTGTTCTTATTAAATAAGTTATTCTACTAAGTAGTATCTTAAGTTACTAGATACGCTCTATTAGAGATAGAAAGCGCTTATAGGAGCTAATATAAGTTAGTCTCTTCTTATAAATTACTAATATATTTTAATCTTAATTATTTAAGTTAATAATTTCTATAATAAGCGCCCTACTCTACTTCATAAAATTTTTAACTATAAGAAAGGCTAATTAAGCTATCTTACCGACGATCTCTTTAAAGAGAGCGTATGCTCTTCTACCTCTAAGGTTTTATATCTCTATACCTTATCTTACTATTCTCTCTCTTCTCTAATCTATAATAAGAAATCTCGCTAATTATATATATATTAGACGCTAAGTAGATACTATTATGAGTACTTAGATACGTATACTTTCTTTATTTCTTATTCTAGTATTCTTTAGTCTAGTTATAAGTCTAGTTATAAATATAAGTTAGATTATTGATTAGATTATTACTATAAATGTAATTTACCTATACATAAGACTATATTCTAGCCTTAGAGATATAGTAATTAGTACGTTCCTTTAATATATTTAGCTACTTCTCTTCTATATAGTTAGAGAGTATTATTACCCTTTAGTAATACTAGCATTCTATCCTCTTATTAAAACTTTCTGCTCTTTATAATACGGCTAATTACTTCTCCATTCCCTAGTTGCTCAATATATATAGCTGTTAATAATTAGCTATCTACTTAAAATAACGTACTCCACTAGTAAGCTAGGCACTCTAGTAAGCTGGGCACCCTAAATCCTACATAAAATGGCTAAAATGGCATGTCGAGATCTCAAACACGTCTGCTTTATTAGATAGCTAGGCCTTATATATAATGTTTTATCGCTACTACGAAGTATATTCTAGTTTATAGGATATCCTCTATTCGTAGTACCTAAAAAACAAACTTTTAGCCTCTAAATCTTCTATAAAATGCAATATTCACAGATAGACGAGGTTCTGTAGTTTAATACTCTATATAAGACCTTCTTAGAGTAATAAAAGGTTCTATATAAGGCTAGGCTATCTAATAAATCAGACGTGGTTAAGATCTTAACATGCTGTTTTAGCTATTTTGTATAGGATTTGGGGTGCCCAGCTTACTAGGGTGCCTAGCTTACTAGTAGAGTACGTTATCAAAGAGTTCTTTATTAAGCGTACCACTAAGTATAGTCTTAAAAAATAGCCTTATAAAGAAAGTTAAGAATAGATTATTTACTACTTAGAATTATTAGGACTTTATTATAGCTTATTACCTACGCGTAAAACTTTTATATACTTAAATTATTAAGCGTAAAAGAGCAATAAAGAAGTATAAGAGATTAGCTAATATAGCTACTTCTACGTTTATACGTTAGTGATCTCTCTTAGCTCTGTTAAATAAAGATATCTAATCCCTAATTCTTCTTTATCTTAGTAGTAGTTTATAATACATTATTATTAGTAAAAGTTAAAGTATAATATAAGATATAAGTATAATGATTACTTATCTTCTACTCTTATATTCTTATAGTTACTAGCTATTAATTCTCTTGATCATATTTTCTCCAAGTTGGTAATTCTTTTACTAGCATTTTAGAAAATAAACAACTTCTTAAACTTAATAAATGGATAATAAGTTAGTAAATTAGTTAATCTATCTATAAGCATACAATCTATTTCTCGATATTATACTTAGAATAATCTTTTTATATATTCTTAACGTAACTATATATTCTAGATATCTATATAGCAGAGCCTAGTAGTAAAACGCTTATTTTTTCTAAACACTAAACTAACTATCTATTGTCTATTCATTATTGTACTTTATAGTATAAAGTTTCTCTCGATTAAGTAGTATTTCTAGAAAGAATCTCTTAATTATTATTATTTCTTTAGATATATGAATTCTAGCGTGAGAAGTTCTATCTTTGTAGTTAACGTAGTAACTATATTTTACTTAGCAGTCTTTTAGAATATTACCCTACTATATAATATCGCGATATGTCTATATAATAAGCGGTGCGTCTTGAGATTATCTTTAAATAATAGATAACTATAGATAATTAGGTCTAGACTGTTAAAATCTCTATACTAGATTACGTTATAGCGCGTCTAATATAAGTAAATAATAACCTACTTGACTACATTTATATACTAATTACTAAGGTTAGTTAAGAAGTATAATAACTTTAATATAGTATACGCAATATCTAGCCTGAGTATAATCATAATATATAATACTAAACTAACTTTTTCTTAGAATACCTTCATCTGTTACTTTATTATCTTAACTTTATTATAACCGTATTAACATAAACGTTATAGACTAGTATAATTCTTTAATTAATATAGTTTCTTATTACGAGTGTCTGTAAGAAATAATCTATTAGTCTTTATTACTATATCTTATACTTGAATATAATTCGATCCTATATCTTTATAGCTATCTACTTATTATTTTTATAGTATAAAATGATATCCATACTTTATAATTCTAATTAAATCAGAGATATAGTTTCTCTTTTAAGGCTTATAGCTTAAATTCTTATAGTGATTCTATAAGTTCTTT